TGGAGGACAGCTACCTGGCCAACTGACTGGAAGAGATCCATATTTGTGCCCATTCCAAAGAAAGGTGATCCCACAGAATGTAGAAATTATAGAACAATATTATTAATATCTAAGATCTTCCTTATAGGTATATAGATATTATCCTATTACTGACAGCATTGTACTTCAGGACAGATCTTGAAACATTCTTTGTGACTATGAAATCAATGCCATTCCTCTTCAATGTGTCATTCCCAGTATAGTAGATCACGAGACTGTCTGATTCAAAATGGCCAATACCAGTCCATTTCAGCTCACTAAGGCCTAAGATATTAATCTTTATGTGTTCCATTTCGTTTTTGACAACTTCCAATTTTCCTAGATTCATACTTCATACATTTCACATCCCAGTTATTAACGGATGTTTATAGCTGTTTGTTCCTGTTTTGAGTTGTGCCCCATCAACAAATGAATGTCCTGAGAGCTTTACTCCATCCACGTCATTAAGGTAAACTCTATTTTGAGGAGGCAGCTCTTCCCCGGTCATATTTTGAGTGCCTTCCAACTTGAGGGGCTCATCTTGTAGAACTATATTAGACAACATTTCAGGGCTATTCATAAAGTTTTCCAGTAATATATCAGACAGCATTTCAATGCTATTCATAAGGTTTTCACCGGCTAACTCTTTTGAGAAGTGAATGCCCATTTTCTTCTTTCCAGTCATTCTTAGTCTGTAAACTCCATTGAAACCTGTCCACCATGGGTGACCCTGCTGGTATTTGAAATACCAGAGGCATAGCCTCCAGCCTCACAGCAACACACAAGGCACCACAGTGTGACAAACTGACAGATGAATAGTGACCAAGATCCTCTAATACATGTAAAATATGATTTGGAAGAATTATATCCAGAGAAAATGAAATATATCTATGCTTTATTCTTATTTACTGACTATTATTTGGCCTAACAGGAAAAAAATAATTTTTAAGGCATTCTATGAGAACAATGTTATATATAATACTCAATCAAAAAATGTATATTCCTTACTGGCTGCTAGTTCCATCTCTTTTTGAACTTGAACCTCGACTTCTGTGTTCACCATTCTATCAAACAAAAAAAATCCATAACCATTAATTAGTGTGTCATAATGAATTAATCATAACTAGCAAACTCTGTAAAACAAATATTTTAAATTTAACAACACCATCTGCACTACAAGTATTTTTAAAAGTTACTATTTTTACTAGATATTTTTAGTAAATTAGATAATTAATCCAAAGGAGATTAATAAATGATTAAGGAGCTTAGGAGTGCCTAAGGTACTTGACTGCTAACCAGAAGGCTGGCGGTTCAAACCCACCAGCCACTCCTCAGAAGGAAGGCTGGGTAATCTACTTCCATAGTGATACCACCTCAGAAACTCAAGGAGGGGTCACTATGAGTCGGGTCTGACTCAATGGCACATAACAACAACAACATATTACTTCAGTAAGTTAAAGAAATTTACATAGTCATCATTTTCACAGACATAACACATTACTTACAGACAAATCGACTGGTTTGTTACACTGCTTAAAATTATAAATTTTCACATATCAGTGCCCACATAGACAAAAAAAATTTAAACACTCTTCTCTTGAATTAAGCAAATTTAAAAAAAAATGAAATTGACACCACTAAATTTTAAATGAATATTTTTATGTGGATTGTTTGAAAAAAGACAACATGAGGTGAACAATGGTTGTGAAGCCATTCACTGACCAGATGACAACATGAAGTGTAATGAGGAAAAAGTTTAGCTATGGTAGAGACAGTTTACTGAAGCTCTTTAAATCTAAGTTCTTGGAATTGAACCCAAAAAAATTCAGAGAAGATTGGCAATATTAATTCATTTACTAAGAAAGACCAGTCTAGAGGGCCATATGCATCAATAGCCTTAAGAATAATAAAAATAATACTCAAACACTTGCTTTAACCTCTAAGTTCTAGTTCTAAGAAATTCTTAGAAAACAATCAAAGAAATGTATTAAGGCTTTCATTCTGCTCATCACATAATAATATAATAATATCAAAATAATGTTAATAACCTGAATGGTCATACATTCAGTGCCTTGTTAAATAAATGAGGTCAGGACCACATCATAGAATACCAGACAGCAATAAAAATATCTTGGTATTAAAAAGTACTTACCAGAATAAGCATAAAATAGCAACATGATTCTAATTTCATATAATTACATGTTTAACAGAAAGAAGAATCTAGCATTCAGTCTTTTATATAAAATGATTAGAATTGAAAAATAATAAAATCAGTAATGTTGGGTAGGAAAGAAAATATTATTTAATTGCTAGCTAGATATACAGAAAGAGGAGAAAAATCAATCAAGTTAATCATAAGATTTTAAACCTGGGTGATGGGGGGATAGTAAGAGTGAAGGGAAGAGGAGGAGGCCATGCACTGAAGGGGCATGACACATGATAACACTGGCTAGACATGCTGGATTTGAAGATTCAGGTATGCATGTCCAGTGATGACTAGAGATTATATAGTGCTCTTACCTCCATTACCTTAATTCCTACAACATTCAAGGAGGCAGATTAATATAGTTAACCCCAAAACAGCTAGTATACTGTAGAGCTAGAACATCAACTCAGCACTTTGGAGTTCAACTCTGTGGTCTTTCTATTACATCACACTGTCCCTTAAGACTAAATCTCTGGTTAGAAAAGAGTAGGGCTAGAAATAAATATTTATAAGAGATATAGAAGGCACTACTCCAAGGAGAAAGGAGCCCTGGTAGCACAGTGGTTAAGCACTCAGCTGGCAGCCAATTCTCAGGCAAAAGATGTGGTAGTCTACATCTGTGAAAATTGTTGTTGTTGTTGTTATATGCTGTCAAGTCGGACCTGTCTCATAGTGAGCCCTCCTTGGATTTCCGAGGCAGTATCACTACGGAAGTAGATTGCCCCATCTTCCTTCCAAGGAGTGGCTGGTGGGTTTGAACTGCCAGCCTTCCAGTTAGCAGTCAAGTGCCTTAGCCACTATGCTACCAGAGCTCCCCTGTAAAAATTACAGCCTTGGAAACCTTATGGGGCAGTTCTACTTTGACCTGTAAGGTGGCTATAAGTCAGAAATGACTCGACAGCACTGGATTTTACTTCAAAGAGGAAAAAGGAGTATGACCCAATATTCAAGGGGATAAAGTGCAACAGATAGGGTAAGAAAGTGAAGAAGTCATTAGTTTCTGCTATAAAGAATAGTTGGCCAGAAATCTATAAAAGAATACTGTTGTCATACTTAACATATTTCAATCACCCTATCTCTCATTGAAAAGTGGAGAAGCCTTAAAATAAAAGGTACACACTGTTATAATTTTAAATAATAGGGGGAAAAAATATATAGAGAAAGGGAAAGATGGTTGCAGAGAATATAGATCCTGGTTTCCCAGTTTGTACCTGTCGTACTGCCATAATTATCAATATTGCCCTCTTGAATTTTATGGTCATCTAAGATATATCAAACACAAGGTTGACATAGTAACTAAATTGAAAAGTATGTTTTGAGCACCTGAAAGCCAATGCAAAGAAAAATATAGTTATATAACGGCCTACTTATCACTTCTGATATTATAGTTTGATTCATGTCTTTATTATACAGTTTCTCAAATGAAATATAAGCACTACAAGCATACACGAATTTTGGTTTTGTTCAGAGATATATCTTTAGCACCTAGAACAATGCCTGGCACATAGTAGCCACTCAACAAATATAAACAAATTGTCTTTTTCTTAGCACTAATTATTATGCTAGGAGCTCTGGTAGCTTGACTGCTAACCAGAAGGCTGGCAGTTCAAGCCCACCAGCCAATTCTCAGAAGGAAGGTTGAGCAATCTACTTCTATAGTGATACGGCCTCAGAAACCCAAGGAGGGGTCAATATAAGTCGGGTCCAATTTGATGGCATATAACAACAACAACAACAACAATTATTATGCCATTTAATAAATTGGGAGCCTAAGGCATTTGACTTCTAACCATTTGGTGGTTCAAACCCACCAGCCATTCCTTGGAAGGAAGATCGGGCAATCTACTTTCGTAGTGATACTGCCTCAGAAACTCAAGGAGGGGTCACTATGAGTCAGATCCGAATCAATGGCACTGAGTTTGGTTTATTTATTTATTTATTTAATAAATTACATTGGTAAAGGATGTAGTTTTACAAAAAGAAAGAATATTATTCTTTCTGGGACCATTCCCTTTATACATCCCCAATAAAAGCCAAAGGTATATATGAAGACATGTCTCAATGAAGTCATATGTATGGGGAAATAAATTAATGTGACCCAAGTATGTAGTTTCTAGTAATTAAATATGATCTAAGGAATGTGATAAAGCAAGTTGATAAAGTGTTACTGGTATAATCTAGGTGATGGGTTCATCTGTGTTCACTGTCAAACTGTAAATTTTGCTGTGTTTGAAAATGTTTATAATAAAATGTTGAGGGAAAAAACACTGAAAAAAGTTTGATCTAGGAGAATAACTCTGTTGTGTTGTTAGGTGCCATCGAGTCGTTTCCCACTCATAGCAACCCCATGCACAGCAGAACAAAACACTGCCCAATCCTGTGCCAGCTCCATGATCCCTGCTATACTTGAGCCCATCATTGCAGCCACGGTGTCAATCCATTCTCGTTGAAGGCCTTTCCCTCCTCCGTCAACCCTCCACCCTACCAAGCATGACATCCTTCTCCAGGGAATGGTCCCTTCTTACAACAC